TTACCAAACCACAAAACATAAACAGAGGCATTTAACTCTCACAATCTAAAATCTTATAGCTTCTTATAATGTCCCTGACAGATATACTCTTTATTGAATTGACTGCAGTTTGTTACGGTTACTCTGCCCACAAAATTCAGTGCAAGTGCCCTTGTGGTTATGTTAGGAGATATCAATTCAAGGGACACCTTGATGGCATCGCTGTCAAATCATGCTTCCCCAACAATGCTGTGGATGAAGCTGGTGCACTGCAACCCTATAGCTCCAGGTTAAGTTGCTTCCCCCACCTGAAACATTGTATAAGAGTCAAAAGCTTGTCTGGTCAGGTTTGATGTGTCCTGCCCCTCTCCTAGGACTTTTTGAACTGACAAACATATAGGAGCTATGAAAACTCTGTGAATTATACACAGTAGGCACCTGGTATTTTAAGCTCTCTTCCTGGGATATTCACCATCAATAAGAGTATTGAATAGATCAGGACTGAGAACATAGCTCTGTTTTGTGCCAGCAGAGACATCTTCCTTCTAGGCAGACATTGATCCATCAATCAACAGCATATTCAACCATAATTAGTGACTTATGACTCCAACTATATGCCTTCATTTTGTCCCCAGGGATATCACGAGATGAATCATCAAACACTTAGCTGACAACCTTGTCTATCGCATTTCCTATTCTCCCAGTTTAATTACCTAATTGATATACAAGATAGAAGGTTTAATTACATGACTTGTTCCTAATCACCTAGTTTGGCTCCTTGCAATGGTTTCCACAACTGTTATTAATTCTTAGGAGCCATCCTTTATTTTAAATTTTATTTTATTATTATTATTGGCAGAATCAAGCTCCAAATCAAAAATCTAGCCCAGGTGGAATCTACCTTCTCTACATTAGAATTAAGGGAGGATAAGAGAAGAGGGCAGATAGTTAAGATACATTAGTATTTGGCTTTGCATTGAAAATTACCATCATTGTTGTTTTACTTAATAGCTTGATTTTTAGTGGCGATAACCAGAAAATGACTTAAAAAGAAAAAAAAAAGTTTGGAGCCCCAGAGCTGATTTTACAGTTCTCACAGCATTATTTTAGTGCCACCTGGCGACAAACATCATGTATTGCAGAGGGTAGGAAAATAGGAAGAAAAAAAATCATAATCTTCTCAAATCTCAAGTAAGCAATATAGATTATAACTTGCTCTTTTTTGTCTATCTGTACCCAGAGAGGCATTACATTTGTAAATGTCCAATCATCCAACAGCCTTATAAAATATTATAATCACCATTTTAGAGATGGAGAAACTGAGCCACAGCAAGTAGAACTAGAATTTGAATCTAAGTCTGATTTTAGAGCATATACATTTTAACCACTATGGCACATAAAACCTCCCATTTTGCTTCTGTATTATGTCAAAAAGTGACATTTGAAATATCAAGGGTAGAATGAACATCAGTAAGAGGAAATAAAAGCCCAAGAAGAGGCAATTGATTGTAGGAAACACTTGAACACTCCAAAAGAAATCATGTCTTCTGGACTGACACAATCTAAGAATACTGAGAGAATATAGAGGTTGCTAAACATGTCTGTGGTTTTAAGGCACTGTAGAGGGGAGAGAGGCTGAAAGACTGGGGATGGGAGGTTTTTCTGGAAGGTAAGATGATGGCAGCCAATTGAAGCATCATTTCTAAGCACGTAGATATGGAAGTTCTGATTCCTAGGCCCTGGTATGGGTTTGCTAAGAATAAGTCATGTCAGACACACCTCATTTTCTAACAGGCTGCTAACTGGATTTCATCAAGGCCGCTCAGCACATCCTTGTGGAAAAGATGAAGAAATACGGCTACACTCAACATTGGTTATTTTCATGGAGGTTGACATGACTATACCCTGATGTTCCGATGGTTGTCAACCTGGAGGAAGTTTTAGTGGCAAAATCCAAGAGTTGCCTTCAATTCTTTGCTCAGCACTTTTATTCACTGTTGGGATGAAAATCTTATGTCTCAGTCAATACACTGTGGAGATAACATCAAGTGGAGAGGTACAGACAACTGGAGGATCCCAAAACATTGTAATAGCCTGGGCCACTGGGCTGACTGAATACAAGGTAACTGAATAGAAATGAATACGAGGCCCTTCATCTCAAAGTACTAGTCAACTTCTGTGTTGAGGAGTGACCTGGTGCACCCTGGGTGAGACCCTTTAGAGTAGTGCAATCAACAAAAATATAATGTGAACTACGTATGTAATTAATTTAAAATCTTCTAGTAGCCACATTCTAAAAAGTAAAAAAGAAAAAAAAAACCTCAGGTGAATTTTAATATTTTATTTTACCAAATATACTCAAAATTCTATCATTTAAACATGTAATCAATATAAAAATCATTGAGATATTTTACATGCTTCCTTATACTAAGTCTTCAAACTTCAGTATGTATGTTATACTTCATAGCACCTCTCAATTTATATGAACCACATTTCAAGTGTTTAATAGCCACATGTGGTTACTGAACTGAACAGGTTCTAGAGGGTTTCCATTGACACTCAGCTGTGATGAGATAGACCCTCAATTATGTTGTTCTCAGGCTGGGTGCACAAATAGAGGGACTGTGCCTAAAGTTATACCACTCAGGAGGATTTAATTCTTTTAATGGAAAAAGCAAGGATCTGGGCTCTATGACATATAAAATCACTATTGGCGCTGCCTATGACCTGTGTCCAACCACTGATTGTGAGTTCTGGGACAATTTCAGTGACCAAAATACTAAAATTTTAAATAAGTGAACACTTACCAAATGGTTTTTTCTTCTCTTGCTTATCTCCCAATGTCTTTGGATAGGTCTTTTTGTTCATGGTACAAGTCATTACCAGAGCTAGTAGTAGCTTATCTTTTTTCAAGGAATAGAACAAAATTCTCTATTTCCATTTCTAATAACATTCAATGCAACTTTTCAAATAGGTTTTAAGTTTCCACATCCTGTTCCCTTTTCAGTGATTTCTGGGCACTAACATTCATTCAAGAATCTAGCAATCTAACCGATAGTGAATGCAGCTGAGAATTAGGAAGTAACATAAGTGAACAAATAAAACAAATATCCAAAAAAGATGTTAAAAATGCACAAACGCTCAAGCTCAAAAATATCATCCTCCATTATCTCCATTTTGCAGATTGGAAAACTGAGGTTCAGAAAGGGTAACTGGCTTCTCCATTGTCCCAGAGATTAAGTCTGTTTCCGAGCCAAGCATCCTTTCTGCCTTATTGCATAGCTCCCTGGAATAATACTTTTCCTTACAGCAATGAAGGCACTACTATCTGTTCCCCCACCATCATTACTTGACACCCTTCTTCCACCGTGTTTATTTTCTCTACTTGTGAATTCATGGTAGTTGAGTATATTCTCTAGAGCAGGTTTCTTTAGTTCTAATGCTGCTCACACCATTTGTAAGATATGGAATGTAGCTTGATTTCCTTATCAATAAATTGGGGAAAAAAGAAGCCCTTACTCATGTCAACTAGCTTATCCATGTAAAGCACTTCTAATAGAACTTGGCTGATAGTAGGCACTAATGATATCTTTTACTTAATGGATAAGAGACCAAGTTTTCACTGTTCTTCACTTGCACTCTTCTAACACATGAAAGCTTCTGGCTTGAAGGGAACTTACGTATTGCCTACTGTAACCTTCCAGCCTAAGAATCTCCTCTGCAATACTCCTGGATGGATGGATATTTTTAGTTTACTTGGTGAAAGCTTGCTGCTTCAGAGACCACTACTCCATTTTTGCGCAGCACTAACTTCTGGGAAAGAAGTTGTACCATAGTGCAAAAAACTTGGGCTTCAGAGCCTGGTTTTATGATCCTCCCATCATCTTACCCCCTTCCCACCCATTACTATACTTTATTGCAAGAAAATCTTGCAATAAAGATTGATTATTGGAACTTTGATAAAAATCTGTCCAAATTACAATATGCCTCAGATAAAGTACTTAAAGCTGACTAACACTCAGAGTCCAATGATAAGAAGATATTCCTTTTTAACTCGTTAAAGTATGGCAGTTGACCATGGATAAAAAGGAGTGACAAAGCCCCATTAATGTTCTTTGTAGGAAGAGCATTATCTCTATGGGGGTCTTTCTAGCTAAGACTAGTAACTCTAGCTCTTAGTATCATCACTGACTTTTGCAGACATCTTGGAAAAGTGAGTATTTGCAAGTGCAAATAATGATCAAGCACTCTCTTGGGTTTAGATATGTAAGGGAAATGATCATTTTTAAGAAATGTTCAACTACAGGCAATTCAATACATAATGAATCTCAAATGTACAAAAAGTCTACTAAACTTATTTACATGATTTCATTTGATTTCTAAGATAATTTCAAATAGTAACACTCGCTGCTGCTGAACTACACTGATGGCTGAAAGGCAACTCCACCACACTGCAACAGCAATTGTTGAACAGCACTGAAACATTCACTAGCAGAGGCAAACGTAAATGAAAAGTAGAGTGTGAGAGGACTGTATAATGAGAAAAGGGGAAGGAGGTTCAAAGTCAAATGTACTAAAGTCACACACCATTTGAATCAGGTGCCATTAGAGGAGGCAAATGGAATTTGCAACCCTACTTTAAATTCATTTTCTAGAGCCACTGGTAATTCTTGTTCCTAAACAAATCAAAGGCTTTCCAATCATAAGGTCAACTAAGATTATACACATGAAAAGTACCTTCTAAATAGTAAAGCATCCATGTCATGTTTTATTATTCCCAAATTAAATGAGAGGAGATATACTTTCTCAAGGACAATTAGGTCTTTGTGTAACTTTAATCCATGTGTCCCAATCTCTAATCTATTCATATTCTTCAAGCTTCTTTCTAGAAGATGCTATTGCCATGTGTTTAACTGGGTTTGGGAACTGGATTTTTATCACTCTTTTGCATGCTTGTGCATCCAACTCACTTGATGGGAGGAGGACAACCCAACTAGCTCACAGGAGAAAAGAAACAGGAGTCACGAAAAAAATAACAACAAAATGTATTTAAAAACAGACTTCTCCAGTTGGCATTTTGAATGAGATAGTTAACAATTAACTCCAACCCTCTATGTTGTGTTTCTTTTGCTCCTGGAGTCCTCTTGCAGCTTTAATTCTTGAAACTCAGGTGGCAGCACCAGACATTAAATCCCCAAAGGGAGAGGTATTAGTAAACCTTTTGCTGGTCATTCTTTTCTGAATGCAATGGGCAAATTCTTAAGCCCTCTTTATTCATTTCATGACGATCATTAGAAAAAAAAATTAAACCAAACTTGCATATTGAAAATAAAAACAAAAACACAGACAAAAAACCCTGCAGATAATAAATATCGCTGATTCACTCATTTTAAACAAAGTCCAATTTTATTCACTCTTAATATCCTTGCAGTCCATTGTATACCTTCTGCACTGATCCTTGTTTCAGTAGCTGTTTGATACCTGAAGAAAGAATGAACAAATGATTCTATTAACAAAAAAGCTACTTCCCTAGAGTTTAAAGAGCACGTTTCATGGAAGGCTCATAAAACGCCTTATGACAACCATAGATCTGAATTAAACAAATAGCTACAAATCTCCAACTGGATCACATGTAGATACTCCCCCCCCTCCACACACACACACACGTGCATCCAAGATGATCCCTTGTCTCTTTCTCTCAGGCCCACATTCCACATACACAACCCCACAAAATGCTATGAAATGACAAATGAGAAGAAGCAATAAAAAAGGAAAGAAAACTCTTCAGCTAAGTCTTCATTCCTCCTTTTTTATCCTCTTTTTATCGCTCTCCTTTCTTTTCCCATTTAGGAGCCTTAACTGGGCTCTCTTCCAAACCAGTCATCATAGATACCTACCCCTGAGCCTCTAGTCCTTCTATTATACCTCATCTTCCCTTTTGGAGTTTAGTCCAGCTCATTTGTTTTAAGTGATTCTGTTTCACTCCCCTACAACCTATCACTCCCTACGTTTCAAAGCCCAACTTACACAACATTTTGTAACAGTGACACAAAGATTTTTTTTAAATTGCCTTTACAAAGAAAGACAAGTTCATTCCAATCTTTGTTTTCTACTAGTATTAATGGTTGATGTCTCCTATCATTGGAGGCTTTTACATCTATTGCCACCCTCCTAACACACATCCAACAACAACTCCCCCCGACCCCCAACTCCTTATAGTCCATACCTTCTCTTGCTTCCTCTGTTAACTGTTCTTTTGGAAAATCCACATCAAAAGTGATTATCAAAGAGCCCTTGATATTGTTGTTGTCAAAGCTAGGGAGCCCTTCCCCCTTCTTCCATAGCTTTGCTCCCGGCCTAGTGATCTTATCCCGGGAGATATGTACCTTATCAGGGTGTAAGCTAAGAAGGTTCGAAAATAGGAGGATCCTTTAACGATGCTATTTACTCTACTTGTCGCGGCAATCGTCTAACCTATCCTCTCTGAGTCTACGATTTTCATGTATATCTGGAAAACACATTATCCCACTACACAACGTCAACAGGTGCCTTATATCTTAGAGTAGGATTAAATATACCACAATCGTACCTCTACAATTAAACATCCCCTCTATACACCCCGAGAAGAACTATTCTACTACTCAGGTGTGAGCCACCGTATGTGTCACAGAATCTTGCTTTCCTGATGATATGAGATGTGAGATTTCATATGTTCTTGCATAGTCACTCTTTTGCAAAAGTTCTGTTCGATATCCTACCCACGGCTTAATGGGCGAGCTGTTATAGCACTATCACCCACTTTTACTCCCTGACGATGTTACTGAGACATAATCAGGTGAGAACGGAGGATTTGCTTATGCGTAGAACTATCTTGATTGTCTGGCGTCGAGAGTTATGCGAAAAACGACGCATACGACATTTCAGCTAGCGTGGATCTGCGCACGCATCGGGGACACACAGAAAGAAAGAGGGCTAATGTATTTGCAGGAAAGAAAATTTCCTCTCGGCCGACCTTAGGAATTCATGTGGCAGGACTCAAGGGTAAGAGGGCCGTAGGACCGGTCAGTGGCGAGTGGGGGCTAGGGTGCAGAGCACTCAGCTAAGTCACTGGAGAACCAGGCACATAGATGCTGAGCACTGAGACAGAGCTCAGGAAGGAGAGGGGAGCAGTTTAGGAGCTTCCCTGGGAGGGGATTCCAATGGGCGTTTAAAAGACTGTGCTTACCCAGTGGGACTCTCAGGTTCCCATTGGGTCTGCAAATATAATAGTCACGGCCAGCTTCCCACGTGTGTGTCTGTGCAGGAGTGCAGAGCCCTGCACTTAGAAGGACCATGTGCTTGGTGGAATGCTCTTCTGTCTTGAAATTCTTAATACTTTTTTAACAAGGGGTCCTGGGTTTTCATTTTGCATTGGGCTTTGTACATCATGTAGATGGTCCCGGCTTACACATAAGTAGTATGTTAGAGGAACCAAGTATTGTAGGCATTCACGGGAGAGGGAGAATCATTTCCAGCTGAGGGTGGGCAAGGAGAGAGGAAAGAAAGTGTTGCGGGCCAGGGGAGGTGGCTCACTCCTGTAATCCTAGCACTCTGGGAGGCCGAGGCGGGCGGATTGCTCAAGGTCAGGAGTTCAAAACCAGCCTGAGCAAGAGCGAGACCCCGTCTCTACTATAAATAGAGAAATTAATTGGCCAACTAAATATCTAGAAAAAATTAGCCAGGAATGGTGTTGCATGCCTGTAGTTCCAGCTACTTGGGAGGCTGAGGCAGCAGGATTGCTTGAGCCCAGGAGTTTGAGGTTGTGTGAGCTAGGCTGATGCCACGGCACTCACTCTAGCCTAGGCAACAAAGCGAGACTCTGTCTCAGAAAAAAAAAAAAAAAAAGAAAGGAAAAAAGAAAGAAAGTGTTGTGGACAGGGCACATTTTGAATTTGACCTTGATGGATAGGCAGGATTTGGATAGGTGGAAATGGAAATATGGCTGTCTGGCTAGAAGAAAGTCAAGAGGTGGAGAAGTTTGGATTCTGCTAAGGGAATGGTAAGAAATCCTTGTGAACTTGGAGTCACAGCTCTTGAGCTGCTCACATCTGTCTCTCTGGGATGATGCCATGCTCAGCTGGCCTTTCCATAGGGACCCTTTTTCAAGGCCTTTCTTAGTCCTTTCTTTCAAGTGCCATTCTGCTAGGTACCTGCCCAGCAAATTAAACCTACCCATGTTATTTTAGAAATCTCAAAGCAAGGCTGGGGAAAAGCAGATTTGAAAAAGAATCAAATAAAAAAATTTTAATTAAAAATCAAATTTTTATTTTTTGAAATAAAAAATTAAAAGTACTGTCGAAATACAAAATGTAACCAAGTACGTTAAGAATGACGATCAATATAATCAGAGCGAAATGCTCAATGAAAGAAAGACATTGTCGATTCCAGAATCCCCAGGTTGTCCAAGTTGGTGCTCTCTCGGGTCCGTCCTTTCATGTCACCACTGGTCTGATGTATGAAGGTTTTGGCACGAGCAGCGGCAAGTGGTGGAGGCTGGAGTGTGGCTGGACGCAGGTCCAAATCGCGTGGTCCACTCTGTCCTATAGCCGTCACTATTGCCGCACACCCCACTTTACTTCTCGGGTTTCCCCAAACAGAACCCTGGAGTGGATGCAGAAACCGAAGCAAACGTATTGGCGACTTGAGTAAAATTAACTAGAAGTCCATACCAAAGTGACATGGTTGACAGTCGCATAAAGCGAGGAACAAACCGGGCATTTTCTTTTGCAAAATCTCACAATCTCATAGTCCTTACATGATCCTCAGGAGAGCGTGCATTTGAAATTTTATTTCTGTTGACTGTGGATGACTGGCATCAGTGGTGCGTATGTGAGAGCGAGAGCGGGTATCAAGGTGAGTGACAGTGGGCAAATATAACATTCTGTTTGTGTTCCCACTTAATTTGCAATAAATATAGAACTTGGTCACACTTGACTCAGCCAGCCCTTTGACTTTGCTCTTTCTCCAATGTAAGTGTCCCTAACCTCTTAAAGTTCTAATAGGCAGAGTTCGCACAGCATAACTAGTATGGGCTGTTTTCTGTGTGGTGCATAGAACCGTCAGAGGTCCTCCTAGGGCTGTGTTAGCGTGGCTTGTCCTGGGTACGTAGGTGGGACAGACCACGTGCAGGAGGGTGGCGCGGAAGTCAGGACCATAGTCTGGCCCTGGTAGATGAGAGCGCTCGATGGGGTCAAGGGTGGAGCAACCAATGTTGACAGCTTGGAACCAGAAGACGCAACAGAGCCTCTCGTCCCTATAGTGGTGTAACCAGAACTCTAATATACATGGGCCCTGTGCTGCCCATGCGGCTTCCAGCTGGGCACTAAAGGACAGTGTCAAGCAGTCAAGGTAGTGCTCCAGGTGCCAGGTAGCAGTGCTTCGGCTGTGGGTAGGGTGGTGCGCCAGCCAGGAAGGTGGACGAGTCCAGGAGATAACCATGTGCCCAGTGGTAGGCAGGCATGTTCAGGCACGCGCCAGCCTCCATTTCAGGACAGGCCGTGGTACCCGTGAAGAAGGATGGTCCGGCGCTTTCCATAGTCCCATATGATCATGCTGAATCTGTTACGACAACACAAGTGTCCTCTCATTGTATAGGCTGAGTACACCAGCACTAACTTTGTCAGAGTGAACCCACGGAGAATACTGACAGCTAGCCCAAAACGGAATTTGGGGGGCTAGGTGTCGGTGGCGTGCTCAAATTGTAACCCGGCGCACTCTGGGCCAAGATGGGGCACAGGATCAACCG